TAATGATTGTTCGTTATCTTTGAATCTACAGGGCCTAGCAAAAAGTGAAAATTGTATTACCTTTTAAAAGCTTCGAACCGTTTTGGAATTGCTTAATTCGTTCTTGAGATATATATGATTAAGTGGACCCAATTTTTTTTTTTTGCAAAAACGGTAAATTGCAAATATCTCAAAAACGGTACCATAAAATTAAAAATAACCTTGATTTTCGGAATCAGGGGGTGATTTTACATACGAATTTCATAACGGCGTCTCTGGTAAATTTTGGCCGTCGACCAGTGTTATTTTTCGTGATTGGGATAAAGAAACATATTTGGGTATTCACACAATTGGGATACGATTTGCACAAAACAAAAAAAACAAATACCCAATTTGTAGGAATGTGGTTAAAGAATGAACTATAAAAAACTAATCAAAATTAAATAACAACAAAAATAATATTTTAAAACTACTGCACATAAGTTGACTTTGATTACTCGGCCGTGCTATCATAGTAGCACTATGACACTAATATTTGACTTACAAACAAAATACGGGCAAGAATTTCAAAATTTCAACACTGTTTGTGTGAAATATTTTGTTTTTATCAGTATTTTTCTTTTAATCAATCTACATATGTTGAAATAAAAGTGAAAAAAATATATTTTGTCAATTTGTCATATTTTAATTTATTTCGAAAGGATTTTACCGAGATGAGCTCGTTTTGTTTTAAGATAGGCCTTCAATTAAGCTTTAATTTCACATTTTTTAAAGCCTCCAGATCCTACATCCCAGCCTTCGCTTTCACTGGAGGAATCTAAAATTATTTCTAGGTTGCTTATAAGACTTTTAGTAGTACTTGTTGAAGGCCCATCAATGTTGCTTGATATACTACTTGACCGTTTAGCGCCTGAAGCAAAAAGTCGGTTATTGTCCACACCCTGGTTAGACAGACTTACTGCCATACCTAAACAAAAGCGTCAGCGTCGTCTGTCTGTGAGAAAATTCTCATGCCCCTACAATTTGTATGAAGCATACCTAATGTGACCAACCGTACTTCTTTCGGAAGTACAGTACTTCTTTTCGTACTTCGAAGTACAGTCAAATGTACTTCTTTGCGATATTTTGTACTTCAGGAGGGAGATGATATAAATATTTTTGCGTCCAAAAGTGCTATAGTGATTCGAAAATTGTCGCTAACTGGTTACAGAATCTCCCCCAGGTCCTGTAATTCTCCGATCTTCTGGACGATCGTCACATGGGCTGGGCGATAAATTCGCTCAAACTATTAAAGTCGCCGGGGACCGATGGCATCATACATGCGCAGCTGCAAAGGGTTCTGAAGGTGTCGTGCAATTGGTTGGATCCCTCCTATTTACGCGAACTCCGTGAGGACCGGGTACATCCAAAGGCTTGGAGGCTTGCGTTCATCCCGAAGTACGCAAAAGCCTCTCATGTTTCCCCTAGGAATTTTAGAACTATCAGTCTCTTCGTTTTTATTAAAACCGCTTTTGCTAAAAATGCTAGAGAGACTGATAGACCTGTACATAAGAAACGAGATTCCTCGTGACTGTCTTTCAAGGGCTCAATATGCTTATTGCAAGAAAAGGTCGGTGAATACCGCCCTGCACACATTGGTAAACTGGTCAGAGGAAGCCTTCACGACCTACTGCATGGGCCTTCTTCGATATTGAGAGAGGCAATAGTCAAGTATATTCATAATCTGGGGGTTGAAACCAACCTAATAAGGCTTGTCTACAGTTTACTTCGTGCCAGAACTGTCGCGTTGGATTAGGCGGCGTCTACACACAGTGCAGAGTCAGTAGGAACACTCCAAAAGGTGGTGTTCTCTCTCCCCTGCTCGGGTTTGCGGTTGTAAATGACCTTCTAAAGGAACTGGAAAAAGTGGGCTGTCGGGTGATCGTCTATGTAGATGAGGTGGAACTTTTGGTTAAGGGACGATTTCTATACACCCTTCTTGATCTGGCTCAAGGTTACCTGAAACAGGTAACTAGGTGGGCGATCAACGGCGGCTGTCGAGGAAGCCTAACATTGAGGAAAGGGTGGGAAAGGTGTCGGTTGCCTTGTACTGCTGTAGGGGAGCTATCGGTAAAAGATGGGGTCTCTCGCCCGAATTAATTCATTAGCTCTAGGAAACCAGATTTAAGCCTATATTTTTTCAAGGTGCCCTTGTTTGGTGGAACGCACTAGAGAAAGCTACACTTGTAAAACAGGAATTAGCGGAGCATTAGGAACCACACCTACACTGGCGCTAGACATATGTACATATGTTGAACACAGCGCCTGCGAATATTGCAGACAGAATTGTCGCAGCGCGAACTGCTATTAGGCTAAGGGAAACCGGGCACGTCCTTTTGTGATATAAAAAAGGAAAGGAAGACGCTGCTCTGCTGCAGCAAATATTTTTATAGGGCACATTAAACCACGGTACCTCTCAAGGGCTAGTGATGGGTGTTCTGACAGGCCATTGTGCGATTGGTATACATGCGGTGAGACTAGGAATTTCAGCTGATCCTTTTGTATCAGCTGTCAAGAGGAAGATCAAGTGGAATCATCTCCACACTTTCTTTTAGACTGTCCAACCTTCGCGAGGCTAAGATGGAAGCATTTTGGCTCGCACTTCTGAACAAACACTGAGCTCTCAGGGATCGAAATCAGCCGCATTCGAAATTACGTAAACGGCTCGCGGCGTTAACTTAACCCAACCTAAGCCGTACTTCTTTGAGCTATGAAATAGTTGGCCACATTGAGCATACCGATACAACGCGGCGTCAACGCCGAACGGTTGAAGTTGGCTGTAGAAAACGGCGAAACTGTAATTTTCGTATTACACACAATCAAACCTATGGTTATTGTTGGCGTGATTTCTGCATTAGACGTAGCGTTGACGCTTTTGTTTAGGTATGGCACTTCGGCGTTAACGCAAGGCGTCAGAAAACGCTCCCCCAATGCTTTTTTTTAGGTACGGCAGTTAGAGCCATTTGAACAATATTAGAGTGGACTCTCTGCCCATGTACACATTCACATTCGCAAAACATTCGTATCATTTGATGCGAATGCGAAAGTCGAATGCGAATGCGTAAAATTATGCGAATCATTCGCATAACGAATGGGAATGCAAATATTCGCAACATCCCTGATGTGTATATAATTTTTTAGTACTTTATTACATCTTTTCATCATGACAATCTTTAATTTCTATACAAAACATCTTGAAATATTCCGTGGAGTCTGAGCACGGGGGCCCCTTGAGAACTCCGGATCCGGGGGAAAAAGTCCCCGATCCCCCCGCTCCTCTCGTCGGGCCTGCCAGTTTAGTTAAATAAATCTCAACTTAGAATTTCTGTTTTCCTCTCAGCCCAACGTTTTCTGCCTCTCCGTCATCGTGATGCCTTTTCCTTCGTTTTACTCTAAAAAATAGAAAGCAGCAGCACTGTCTCGAACCCAATATGTTTGTATGTACATACATATGTAGCTCATTCTGTCAAAGAAATTCAAAGTGGCAGGTTGTACCAACTTCACTTAAAATAAATTATTCGAAAAATGTAAGGTCCGCGGGATTTTGATGAAATTTCTATTTTAAGACTTTGAGCTGTTAATATGTACTTGTAAATGCAAAAAACCTCTATTTAGCAAAACTACAACGGCCTTAAACGCGCGCTATGCCCCGCTTTTGCTTGCGGAAATACTGCAAATATGTAAAATGTTCACAACTTAAAGTCAAAAGTCATTTAAATTAGACCTGCCTCATAACTGACACCCACAGCCTCTACAAATAGTTAAGTGTCTATTCAAAATTCAAAACACAAATAAATTTGTTGTCATAAACATGTCACTTGTTTATTTATTGTATTTTTAAATTTATGCAATTTATTCATAACGCGCGGTGTCAAACAAGCACACTAACTCGATAACTGACTACAGCTGAATATGTATAACTAACTGTTCGACATACGCATTTGACCAACTACATACATATCGACTAACTAACATACGTATGTATGTATGTACCTACATAACTACGGTGACCATTCGTACCGATTTTGGCGGGACAGTACCGATTTCGATAAAATTGTACCGCTGAATACTTTTTAAAAGTCTGGACGTATAAGTGTCTCGATATTTCATATTTATACCGATTAAATACCGATTTTCAGTGTTTTCTTATTAACTTATCAATAATCTTCCTGTACTCTGTCCCAAAAACAATTTTTCGTACAAACGTGGCAGCACTTTCCTTATCACAAAGAACACAGAATTAGGGGAGCCACAAACATAGTAGGGATCCTTTTTTTATGATCTTTGGTTATGTTTTATTCTGTCAAACTGGTACTCTCGCTATATTGCAGTTGTTATTCTTGTTAAAAAAAAAATTAAGTTCTTATAATTTTTTTTTATTTGTTAATTTTTTTTTTAATGAAACGATTCTAACTTGAATTTTGTGAAGTTATCAAAAATATACTAATTCCCTCAAAGAATTCATGCACTGAGAAAAAATCAGCCTAAAATTGGTAAATATTACCAAATTCAAACTTTAAAAGGAATCAACGTAATTTTTGGTTAATATTAACAATGCCTCCACACAAAAAAAATTTCGTACATACTTTATATTGAATAAAATGCGCGAACGAAAAATTATCAAAAATCAACGGTAGGTAAGTCCAAGCTACTTCGAACTTGCACTTTATTATACCAAAATTGATTGGGCTACAAACGTGCATGCTGAAAAAATTCTAAAAATATAATTGAAAAGTTTAAAACTTTTTTAAAATTCGTCGAAATTTTGTAAATGTTCTACAAAGTTTGAAATTCGGTTTAAAAGGGGTTCTTTATGATAGAAAGCTATATTTTCATATAAAATAATAAAAAAAATTTTAACAAAGAAAAGTAGCCAAAACTTGCTAAAATGTGTTTTCCCTATTTACATTATCGGCCCGTTTATATTGTGTGTATACATTTTTGCGAAAAATTTTCAAGTTTTTTTCTCTCTGTTTTGCCTTAAATAAAACTGTATTTTTGTAAAACTATCATGTCTTTTTATTCTAAAAAAATGTCATGTTAGGATTCGATGTCCCGATTTTTGTCCACAGAAAACTGGTCACCGTATATTTACATAACTAATTTATGTGCGCCTAAATATGAAGCTGACAATGAGATCATTGATTCTTTGGGGCTTTAAGCTTTTGATAATTCTACAATTATAAATTATTCAAGCCAGTGGCGAGGCGCACCCAAAAAGCAACAAACAGTACGACGACTCCACAGAGTCTGTGAGGCTACTTTGTGGTAGCAAACGAGCGTGTAGAGTGAAGTGAATGATTTTAAAATTTATTTTAATAGATAAATAAAAAAATCGCTTTTTTGTGTGTTTCAAATAAATTACATACATTATTTGATTTTTTGTTATATATTTTTCGATACATACAGGCGTAAATACATACATACATTCGTACAATGATTTATAAATAAAACAGTCTAAGAACCGATAGTTCGGCGATTTTTTTCATTTTTGTTTGTTTTGTTTCTTTTCTCAACTACAATCTACAACTATTAGGTACAGCAAAGAGTGAAGAAATAACAAAATTCGCTAAATTATTTTAGATGTTTAAATATTACATATTTACAAGCATACATATATAAATATGTGTGCTTTTGCAAGTGTGTGCTTTGTCTGTTTATCTTTTTCGCCATCGACCATCATCGCTTGTGTGTCGAAGACGCTCATAAATTAAGTGAAAGGCGCACCAAACGGCCTTTTTCATAAATACTTCTCTGCTTTGGCATTTTTTTATTTTTGTTTAAATAAATCTAAGTATTTTTTACATATATGCAAGTAAATATGCGTTGGCTTAAGTCTAAAATTATGATACTCTATGCATTTAACTAATGATCATATTGATGACTTCAGCTAAGTGTGTGTGTGCGTGTCCTCCTCCTTGAGACACCAAACAGCCTCTTTACGGGTCTAACTGGGAACTCTGGTAATGTTGAACTTTGCATAGCCGCAGATCGCCTAAAGCGAATCGGCTATCCAGTAGCATAGCTGCCATGCAGCCTTTTGTCGTCGCCGACGCCACCGCTGCAACTCCACCAGCAGCCAATGCCAGTTGCGGTGGCCATCTACCGCCGCTGCTAAATATATTTCCGGGTCATGCATTGTCTCCACCCAACCGCCTTCTGCTTTCGCTGCGGCGTGCAACATCTCTGAACGTCCAGCATTTGTCGCGATCTTTTCAAAATCGCTTCTGACGCGCTCTGCAAACTTGCACCAACGGCTTTTAGCGTTTGCGCCAACAACCGTCTACCTGCTCATGATCTCAGCAATGCTAAAACCAAGCGCGCGCTTCGGCCGCTCACCGCCCTCATTCGATTGCACGCCGCCCGAGGCGGAAAGGTCGAGTATGGGTGTTGTTGGTGCGCTGGATGTAGCCGAGCTACAGGGTGATTTAGTTAGCGTGCACGCCGCTGTTGACATCGACAGCTCATTGTACTTGCCGCCGCTCTGCTTGATCGCCGCCAGCTGCGC